ATTTTATATAATATGATTAGTTAAAATCTTTCTTTAAAAAATAAAGAAATTTTTATTAAGTAAAAGTTTTTTATACTTCTAAGTAAAGTTGTAGAGCTCTCTTTTCTGGTTCTAATTATAGTAAAATTATCAAAATTAGACTTGTCTTTGGTAAAATATTCGTGTTTAAAGACACAATCTTATACAATGAATCTAAACAATTTTTGTTAACACTCACTTTGCAGATCCTTAAGATCGCATCTTTAAATGCAAATATTTCATCAAGGACAAGTCCAATCTCAATGATTTTACTATTATTAGAACCAGAAGAAGTATAAAAAACTTTTACTTAATAAAAATTTCTTTATTTTTTAAAAAAAAGATTTTAACTAATCATATTATATAAAATACAGAATCAGTTTTTTGACTTAAAGAATATAGTAAAGAAGTATTAAACTTTGAATCAAGATCTTTTTAAAGTTATATTTTTAATACCTTATAAAAATTTATAAAAAAGAAACATTAAATGCTAAAAAATATAAATTCCACTTTTAAAAAAAAAACTTTTTTTTTATTTTTTAAGTAATTTAAAATTAAATGAATTTTTTTTATAAATTTACATATAAAATTAAGATACATCAAGTTATTTGATCTATAATTAAAACATTTTGACCACTGTAAGGTTATATGTTCTTTGCCTGTTATTTATTTTCAATTTTTACTTTATTTATAACTTTAGACAAAATGACATTTTGAGAGTGGTATTAAAAATATACTTCTTTCTTATAAAATAATAATAAGTATATGAGACTAAAAAAGCTCTTTATTGAGTATTTCATTTGTTATTTTTATATAACTTAATAATTGAGCAAATATTATACTTGCAGTATTATTTTGACTTGTATAGTTTTTGAAATGATGTATATACGCATATTCTAAAAAATACAGATAGACAAACAATATCTACCAATAAAATACTATAAAATAAATTGTCTAAATATTAATTGAATATAACTTATGACTCTAGTCAGGTAAAAATAATTAATAGTACATATATATATTTGCAAATTTTACAAATAACTAATAAAGCATTAAAGAAATTTAGATCTAACATAAACACTACATATTTTACTCTATAAATGCATACCTCTAAATATAGTTTTGTATTTTTTATACTACTAAGGAGTAAACTTAGAGAAGTGTACTATATATTAAATACATAAAAAATAATTATAAAATTATTTGAATTCTATATGCTTTGCTACATTTTTATTTTCTAAACTTCAAATTTCACAATCATTTATAACCCAATATGCATTATGAGTAGTTAATTGAAAATAGCCTATGTTCTTATCCTTATTCTTTTTATAGTAATCTTGAATATTAAAGTATTCTATGATAAAAAATCTCATAAAGAAAACAAAGCTTGTATTCCTTCTACTTCTATCCCTGAAGATATTTGTTGTAGTATAGAAGGAAATATGAGAACTTATGAATATATTGTATCATCAGATTTCAAACTTATTGATAATATAACTGATCCTAAAACTTGTTGTAAAGCTTGTTATAAGAATCCTGAATGTTTTCATAGCAATTTTAGTCTGATTACTATATATATTTTAATTTAACTAATGATAATTGTTTATATTCAAGCTTTAACACTAATAATAATTCTGAGAGTACTATTCGTTGCAATTATTATAAAGCATAAATATTTTATTTTTATTTAAGATATAGTTAGATCTCTCTAAATGCATTTTGATAAAAAAATTAGTCTAATTTGTATTTAGAGAGAGGTATTGCATTTAGAGAAATAAAAATCTATAAGTATTATATTAGTTAGAGCCAAGTAGATGCGTATATTTAGAGAAGCCTTTTATGAGCATGTACTTAGAGAAGTAGTATTTAGAGAGGGCTAACTGTAGTTTAGTATAAAAAAACATGATTTCAAGTTTATAATATTTGTTATATTTATATTAATATTAATATTTAATTAATTAACTTTTTTTCTTTTTTTTTTTTTTTTTTTTTTTATACTTAGGCGATCTTGCCCTTCATTTATTAGGAGAAATATAAAAAATATTTAAACAGATACATAATAAAAGAAAAAAAACTATTCTACTATTAAAACTGCCCTCCTTATTGCAATTCTAGACTCATTCAGCTGTCTAAAAGATGTTTAAGTGCGATCTGCTACAGCAGCATTTTCTTCCTAAGACTAAACATATGTATAAACATACCTATTTAGACTCTATCAAAAGAAGGTTACTACTAGCCAATATCAAGAAAGTCTATTTAACTTTAAATTTTAACTATTTCTTGTGATCTGCATTTTCAATCCACCTCAAGATTTGGTTGTTTGAATCTTTTAGAATTTTTTCCCTTTTCTCAGCTACTGATTCTTTCTTTTGAGAGTTCTCTGAAGAATTGTTTTCTTTGTTTGCTAGGCTAAACCTAGACTATTTCTCTTTTTTTCCTTTCTTCTTTCGCATATTGATCTTATTTTCTTTTTCCCAACTTGCTATAACTTCACAATGAAACTTCTATAATCTTTCATAAAAATTGAGCCAAAATATATTAATAAACTAACTTATTGTTTGGTTAGCTTTAGATCTGAAGCTTAGCAATAATCTAATATCGTTAGTTTGTTTTTTGCTTGTGAGACCTCAAAGGTGTAATTTTCTTCATTTAAGCTTTTCCTCTAAGTTTGTACCTAAGAGTATGCTCGCAAGACTAGAACTTGATACTGATAAATCCCATTCTTCGAGTATTTTCAGATCTAGTTCCTCTATTATTATTTCTTCTATGTGTTTTCAGATCTCTTGATATAACTCGCAAGTAGCTAGGTGACTAAAAGTTTCTTCTGTTCTGAAGCATACTACACATGTTTTACCTTTATATAACTCAGGTCTTCTTTGGTAGCATATATTATATGTTGGTAGTAACTTATTCACGCATTTTATTCTGAATATCAAAGCCTTGCTTTTCTTGAGACTTGTGTACTTTCTGCCTTGATATTTCTTTAACATATCC